CTCCCCCCCTCCGCCCAGGGCCCCTTTAGGGTTCTCTGTGGGGTTTATCTCGCCCGTTTTTCACAGGAAATCCGGGGTGTGGTGACACCGGGTGGCAGCGATGGTGGCAGCGATGGCAGCTCTGGGGCGCATCCTCGGCATCCTCATGGGGACCCTGCTGGCCGGTACGGGGGGTTTGGGGTCCTGCCCCATGGCGGGGGGCGGTTGGGGTTCTCTGCCCCCCAGCTGCGGGTGGGGGAGGGGCACTGCACGCGCAGAGCTTCCCGCGCTCGGGGGAGGAAATGGGGCCCCGCAATGGGGTGGGGAGAGCCGGATGTGGGGCACCCCATGGTTTGTGGGGCGCAGGGACCCACAACCCTTCACTTGTGGGTCTGAGATTTGTGATCCCAATCTGTGGGTCCAGGACACCCCACTTGGGTCCCAGACTCGTATCCCCCAACTATGGGTCCGGGACACCCCACTTGTGGGTCTCAGACTCGTGACCTCAATCTATGGGTCCAGGACCCCTAGATCCCCCCATCTGTGGGTCTCACACTCGTGTCCCCCCATCTGTGGGTCCAGGACACCCCACTTGTTGGTCCCAGTTTTTTGCCCCCCATCTTTGGGGTTCCCTTGGTCACTCTGTGGGTCAGGGGTCTCTTTCTCACCCATCCCCCACTCTGCCCCACAGATCTGCCCCACACTGGGGCCGTGAGAACCGGATGTGGGGTGCCCCATGGTTTGTGGGGCACAGGGACCCACAAYCCTTCACTTAGGGGTCCCAGATTTGTGCCCCCAGTCTATGGCTCCAGGACAATCTATGGGTCCAGAACACCCCATCTATGTGTCCAGGACCCCTGGATTCCCCCATCTATGGGTCTCACACTTGTGACCCCAATCTATGTGTCCAGGACACCCCACTTGTGGGTCTCATGTTTGTGCTCCCCATTTTTGGGGTCCCTTTGGTCACTCTGTGGATCAGGGATCTCTCACCCATCCTCCCCTCTCTGCCCCATAGATCTGGACTGCAATGGGGCGTTCAGAGTCAGGTGTGGGGTGCCCCATGGTTTGTGGGGCGCAGAGATGCACAACCCTTCCCTTGTAGGTCCCAGATTTGTGCCCCCAGTCTATGGCTCCAGGACAATCTATGGGTCCAGGACACCCCATCTATGGATCCTGGACACCTCATTTGTGGGTCCCAGATTTGTGACCCCAATCTATGGGTCCAGGACACTCTATCTGTGGGTTCCAGCTTTGTGCCTCCCCTTTTTGGAGTCCCCTTGATCACTCTGTGAGTCAGGGGTCTCTCTCACCCATCCCCCACTCTCTGCTCCACAGGTCTGCCTCACACCAGAGCCTTCAGCGTCCACCCAGCCCCACACCGGGTGCTGACCCCTGGCCGGAGCCGCAGCTTCGGCCACCAAGTGCTGCTGCTGGATGGGGCGCGGTAATATGGGGGAAGGACATTTGGGGTCGCCCTGATTGCCGGGTCACCTGATTGTGGGATCACCCCAATTTCAGGATCACCCAGATTTTGGGATCACCCCGATTTTGGGATCACCCATTGTGTGGTCACCCATTGTGGGATAACCCCGATTTTGGGGTGACCCCGATTGTGGGATCACCCCGGTTTTGGCGTCACCCCAATTTTGGGACCCCTCCCCTCTCCCCAGGGTGCTGGTGGGGGCCCCGGCCGAGGGGGGGGATGGGGGGCGGCTGTTCCAGTGTGCGGTGCCGAGCGGAGAGTGCCGGGAACTGGAACTGCAAGGTGGGACTGGGATGGACTGGTTTATACTGGGATGTACTGGGATGGACTGAGAATGGGACTGAGAATGGGACTGGGATGGACTGAGATAAACTGGGATGGACCGGGATAAACTCAGATGGACTGGGAGGAGATTTGGGTGGGATTTGGGGCGAGTTTAGGGTGAGATTGGGGTGGGTTTAGGGCAGGTTTGGGGTGGTTTTAGGGCGGGTTTGGGGTGGGTTTAGGGCGGGTTTAGGGCGGGTTTGGGGCAGGTTTATGGTGGGATTTGGGACAGGTTTTGGGTTGGTTTGGGGCGGGTTTATGGTGGGATTTGGGACGGATTTTGGGTTGGTTTGGGGCGGGTTTAGGGCAGGATTTGAGCAGGATTTGGGGTGTTTTTAGGGTGGATTTAGGGTGTTTTTAGGGTGGATTTGGGGTGGTTTTGGAGTGGTTTTAGGGTTGTTTTGGGGTGGTTTTGGGGCCTGTTTAGGATCTTGCCCCTCCCCAGGGAACAGCTCCCAGACCCACATGGGAATGGCCCTGGCCCGGGATGGCGACGGTGCAATCGTGAGTGGAATGGACCTGCCCCTTTCTGTCAGCCCCGCCCCTTCCTGTCAGCCCCGCCCCTTCCCTGTCAGCCCCGCCCACTGCCTCACCCCTCTCAGCCACATCCTCTGCC